GGCCGCCAAGCAGTGCAGCCCCTGCTCGGCCGCGGCGCAGAGCTCGTCGGGGCCGGCGGCGCTGCCCTACGGCTACTTCGGCAGCGGCTACTACCCGTGCGCCCGCATGGGCCCGCACCCCAACGCCATCAAGTCGTGCGCGCAGCCCGCCTCGGCCGCCGCCGCCTTCGCGGACAAGTACATGGACACCGCTGGCCCCGCGGCCGAGGAGTTCAGCTCCCGCGCTAAGGAGTTCGCCTTCTACCACCAGGGCTACGCGGCCGGGCCTTACCACCACCACCAGCCCGTGCCCGGCTACCTGGATATGCCGGTGGTCCCGGGGCTCGGGGGCCCCGGCGAGTCTCGCCACGAGCCCCTGGGTCTTCCCATGGAAAGCTACCAGCCCTGGGCGCTGCCCAACGGCTGGAACGGCCAAATGTACTGCCCCAAAGAGCAGGCGCAGCCTCCCCACCTCTGGAAATCCACTCTGCCCGGTAAATGGCGCCCCCTTTCCAGCCCCGGTCTTCCGGCTCTGCTCCAGCTTCTCCTCCGCTCACGCCCGGGGTCACCCGGGTGGCCTTCTGCTCTCCCTTGGCCGCGCCAGCGGGGCTGCACCCCTGGGAGCCTGATCCTGGCTGGCTAGCGCTGTCCGCCCTACCCTAAATTGATCTGGCCCCTGGCCCTCCCTGGGTGAAGGGTGGCCGGGAGGGAGCTTGTGCGGACCCGGGCTAGCTTTCTTCTCCCTCTGCGCCCCGCCCTCCCCAGCCCTGGACACTGAAACTGAGAAATTGACCCCCTATTTGGCTCATCAAATTGCCACTATGCACTCTAGAAAAATGGTTTCATTGGTGAAGCATGGAGTGTTGGGGCTTGGGGCAAACCGGGAGGAGCCAGGCGCAGGAACGTCGTGCCCTGGGTCCGGCGCTAAGGTGTGGGCAGCTGGGCCAGGGGATGGTGGGAAGCAGGCGCGCTGGGCATGCAGGACAACCCTGTTGGGGTGATCACTGGAGCTCTGGGCGATTTCATTTCATTTCATTTCACCCTCTCCCCTAACCCTCGAAGCTTTGGCAGAAGGCCGGATTGTACCGCGAGTAGCAAAGAGCAGCCCGCGCCAGGCGCGTGGATCCGATCGAGCTGTCGCCTGTGTCCTGGCCCCGTCTGATCCATATATAACTTGCCTTGTCCTCTGTTTTCCAGACGTGGTCTCCCATCCCTCGGATGCCAGCTCTTATAGAAGAGGGAGAAAGAAGCGCGTGCCTTATACCAAGGTGCAATTAAAAGAACTCGAACGGGAATACGCCACGAACAAATTCATTACCAAGGACAAACGGAGAAGGATATCAGCCACAACGAACCTCTCTGAGCGGCAGGTCACAATCTGGTTCCAGAACAGGAGGGTCAAAGAGAAAAAAGTCATCAACAAACTGAAGACCACTAGTTAATGGATTAACTATGGAGCAGAGAGAACTTGAAGAAATGCTTGAGAACTCATTGCTTTGCCCAGATAATAATAACACTTAATAATAATTGAAGAAATGGAAAGAGAGACACTGGCATTTGGCCCTCCTTAGGGGGAGAATGTCTTTCTCTGTAGTGGAATCTACAACTTTTTAAAAACTTTAAGAAATGATAAAGACCGCCCAGTTCTCCCGCCAACCCCACCAGACCGTTACATGACAAACTCTAAAGTCAAACGTCAACCCCTAAATACTCAATTTCAGATAAGTTACACATTTACTGAAATCTTGTAAGTATTTATGTGACCGTTATATTTTAGGACACAATGTTAGATGGTAATAATTTGAAAGTTGGCTACAAAAGCAAGTGGCTTTTTAAGCATCTGCTTGTTCTGCTCACGTCGCCATCCCCTTTGCATGTTAAGTGTCTGCTCAGGTAAATCTTAGCGAAATTCCTATTTGTATGTTCTGAAATATGTTTCATGTATAGGTTTAGAGGGGGGGAAGAGAAGGTACTGAAATAACCTAGAACTATTTACTCTGAAAGGAGAAAGGAGAGAAAAGCTCTTCTGAAGATCATATGTCTTGACAGTAAATACAACCAGCTTAAACCTTTGAGACTACAAAGGAATTCCAGGTTGGTAATGTCCTTCCAAGAATAATTTTTAGTTGCTTATAAGAAGCACATTTTTGGCACTTGGATTACCCCATGATCAGTGATTTTCCTGAGAATGGAGTGTTTTTAAAAAATGTTTAAATCAACAGATAATCTGCAGGATTCATTTTATGTCAGATCTCCCAGGAGGTCCCACCTCAACGTGATGGACTTTGGTTTTGATATAATTCATTTTTTCATCTAAACTGATATTTCCTAAGATTTGCTAAATATTTTGCCAGAGAAATAATTTTCTTGTTTTTATGTTTTAGAAAACTCAAAATGGAAATTCATTCCCCCAAAATATTTAGATGTCGATATTCTATATTTTGGTCTTTTAAGAAATTAGTATTTTTTCCTTGTTTATTGTGTTATAAGACTTCATTAGAAAGTTTAGGGATTCATTTTCACAGCACATTTTTAACCAAGCAGTTATCTCAACCAGCACATTCGTTTTGTTCATATTCACTTTAAAATACTATTTTGTAAATAAAGACATTCAGCACACTGTGAAAATGTTATTTGTGCACCTGCTTTTTAAACATTTGTACTAAAAATGGAAAATTTAGACCTGTAGATAGTGATATAGTGGTATTAATTCTGTTAATAAAACAGTCACTGCCATTAAAATCTGAAGGAAACACTCATTACTTTCCTTTGCTAAACGTGCCCTGCACGGAAAAGGAGCAGGTTTGTCTCATACAAACCAAGGACTATTCTTTTCTATTATTATTCAGCTTTTGGAGGGGTTAATTTTTTTTTTTTTAAGAGAAGGGATAAATCTCTCACAACTAAAATTCTGTAAATGATAAGTGCTTTAAGGAGATAAAAGTGTCAGGTGAAAGGGAAAGAAAAGAAAGGAGAAAGAGATAGTAGAAATTCCCAGGCTCCCTGTGGAAAATAAAAACCAGTTGTTTAGTATCAGCAATGCTTAGGCTGTCGTATTTTAAAATCTGCTGCTGGGTCTGCATGTGTCTGAAAGGGCAGGTTTTGATATTTGTTGAAATGACAGGACTAGGAAAGGCCTTAAACCTTGACCTTGACGAAAAAAGACAATTTGTGACCTTGACTTTTGACAGCTCATGAATTGGCCTGGGCTGGATTAGTAGATCAAGGGCGCCACCTGGTGTTGACAAGCCTCCTTGTAATTCTTCAGCTTCAAGGGAATCAAGAATTCTTACCTCCTTGACTTGTTATTTTAGAAATTTAGTACTCATTTATTTGGCTCCAAATGGAGCAAATTTGAATATATGTAAATTATACATGTGCCTGTATATATGTGAATATATATCATATATGTGTATACATGTATACATTTGCATATCAGTGCTTGTGTGTGCTTGTATATAATTATAGAATCTGTACAGATATAGTATCATTAATTGCTGATGACTCACAATGTTGTAATTTAAGGTGATTTCTAGAGCTGAGGTACAAAAATGTACTTTATGTGATGTTGCTTTGCTCCTTTTTTTTAATGACCAATTTGATTTGTCTTCACAGCAGCTCACTCAGATTTCTATAGATTTGCTTTTAAGCTGTACATTTTTGTTACAGTCCAAGAGATGTTCTTAAATAACCATTTTTTCTCCTCACCCTTCAAGGTGGTCTACCACCCTAATTAGAGCTATCAGGGAGTCTTAACGGCAAATAAAAGGCAAATAAAAAGTTTCGGATGCCTTGCTAACTCTAGAGTTCTAGAGTTACATTTCAGAAATTCAAAGAAACCCACCTCTTAAGAGGTCAGTAAGGAGAACTTAAATATCTCATATCTACAAAATGACCATAATATGTATGCAGAGGCAGAGTTATCCTGGATAGCTCAGAGCTAACTGCAGCTCCAGGGTGGTGTGCAATCTTATACTGATGCTTGCAAATGTGCCATTTGATTTGTGGGAGAAATAAATATGTTTAATATTAACAATCACCATCAAAACTATAATAATGATAAATTTTTATATCTACTGTTTATTGACCCCTAACAATACATCAGGTGCTGGGTTCAGAGTCGTAAATAATACATATGTATGTTTATATATTTAATAAACACATAGGGTTATGTGTTTTTTGTCAAATCCATGCTATGAACACATGCATTAAAATGTTGGTGGAGCCAGTAGCCTGGAGATGGGGAATTATCAGATGCAGGTTAATTTTATTTTTACATTAGAGGAAAGAAATAGTGAATGGAAGAACTTGATTCATCATTTGGTGGAAAATAATATTGGTTGGTTACAAGCTTGGCTGATGGAAACCTCTCCCAGCTTGCCTAAAGACTGAGAGCTTTATAGATGAAGAATTACGGAAAAAACCTAAAGCTATTTCAAAAAAGCTGGGTCCTGAACCATATGTATCAAATAGTCCTGTGAGTGCAATCATATTTTGCTGCCCTGAGGATTTTCACTTCACTTGTGGAAAGAAATGAAAATGCTACTTCAGATCTGCCTCCTTACATCTTGTTCCACAGTTCCATTTGTAAGACAGCTACCATCAAGCCAAAGTAACGACTTTCTCCCAAAATGTTTAAAGTGGTGGAAAATCCCCCATAATCTGGATCGGCGTGCTTACAGTTAGCCCTGAAGAGGACTCTTCTGTTGATAAGCGATATTTTTCTTTAGATGTAAGAAATATTCTGAGCTTCAGGCCTAGAAGAGAGACCAACAGCAGCTCTGCAGCCGGAATACGGCCCTTTCAAAAGCCATTGCCACTGCAAGAACCTTGGGTAAAGTAGTAGCCTTCTTTTTTTCTCTTTCCAGTTTTTGAAACTGTAACAATAGAAATATGTCAGCAGCACCCCAACCCCAGTTCTAAAATGGTTATTGATAGTGTCAGTCTTACCTAACTCCTTTCATATTGTAAGTGTCCATGGAGCTACCAGATAAACTGAGGTGGGCATGGATTATAATGGCTCCCTAATGCCTTAAGCCTGTAGAACAAAGACAGCTAGGGGAATATCAGCTTCTTCTTGAAAATAACAGTAATAATGCAAGTCACTAACCCATGAACAGCATGGTTTAAAACCTGATTCAAGTATTTTTTTTTTTTTCTAAAAAGGAAACTCTTCCTGGACAAAAAAAAAAAAAAAAATTATAAATATAAGACTTTCCCCATCTGCTCTTAATACTGTCAAATTTATTAACTTAAGTGGTTGATTGTAAAATGTCACTGTGTATTTCACTACTATTTTTCCCTGATGCAGAGTTGAAACCATTCATTTAAATTGGCTTTGCTTTCTTTAACAGAAAAGGAAAGAAAAATTGTTAAAGTTGGAGAGA